ATAGGATGACAAATGTCAAATCTTTAGAGCGTGATTCGTTACGCGCTATAATAACATTACATGTCGAATCTTCAGTATGCAATTCGTTACACACTATAACAATATAATTCAATATAGAACATAATCTCGTAAATCCATTACAAGTCTAAAATCATGCTTTAGATATATAATCAATGTCAAACACACGATTAAATCATTAACGTAATAAAAACGGAAATTAATCAAGTAAACTAATTAATTTCTCTAAATTTCGAATCTAAATCAAATGATCTCTAATTAACACATGTTATACAATATAGCATGGTCATTGCATATACCAAATCAAAAACTTAATTAGGCCATTGGAATCATTAAATAGATTTTAATTAATCATTTTAATTAAAATCTCTAAATTTTCATACTTATCCAAATGCTCTCAAATTAAAGTATGTTAAAGGACATGGCAAGACTTAATTTAAAAACATATCACAACTTAATTTCATGCAAGGTACACCCATGAAAGTTAAACTTTCACAAAAGATAATTATAAATAAAAAGTGCAATTCTTATTCAAATAATTCCAATTTTATATATGTTAACACACATATCAAAACATAATTCATCATCATGCCACTTTTCAATTCTAAGCTATATGCATCTTTGTAAATTTAATCTTATACAAAGAAATAAATATTACAAATTTTCTAGATTTGATACAAGTCATGCAAACAAGTTGTATAATCATGGAAAACACCCATTACAACACATACAAAATCCTAAAACATCCCCTACCTCCATTTGAGATAATCTCAAATCCCCACCGAAATGAAACGGCTCCGAATCCGACGAAACTTCTAGGTTTTGTCGGGGACAACACGGTGAACAAGAACCCCAAGGAAGCCCCGTGAAAATCAGAACTTGACTTCAAATCCAAACTCAAGAAAAGGCCAAAACGAGATTCCAATCGGTGGAATCAAAGGCCTCGCCAAGACGAACATAAAACACTAAGGCACTATGACTTTTCATTGAAGGGAAGAAGCTCAAAAGAGGAGAGAGAAGGTGGAAGTCATGGCTGCCATGAGATCCGGCCAAGAGAGAGGAGAAAGAGAGAGAAAATTTTGATTTTTCTTTCTAAGACCCCCTATTTATAGAAAAACTCAAAAAGTGCCCCGAACGGGCCCCGCCGGGTCCGAAAAAGTGGAATTTGAGCAAACGCGCTCAAACGGAAAAACTATGTGAATGAAAAATAACCGAAATGAGACAATATGAACAACGGAAGAAATGGGGTCAAAAACTGAGTCTCGAGCAGAGAGATATGCCCCGAACAAGTTCGGTGGCAACCGGGGCCAGAAACCCTGAAACTGGAGAAAAACAACCAAAAGAAAATTCTAAGAGTACATGACTCGATGAAAAGTGAAAATGAATCCCGTACGAGGATCCATACTCAAAACGAGGCATTTAGCAATAACTTTCATTAATTGCATAATGGCCCCTCTAAAAAGTGAAAACTGCACAACTGGCCCAGAATGAAAATATCTTCCCAAAAATATTTTCTTAGAAACCCCTAAAATAAAATATCTTCAAAAGATATTTATGAAAAATACCCTGAGAAAAGAATAAGTTTTCAAAGAACTTTGCATCCGTGCCTATACAGACACTAGGAGCATCCAGAGTACTTTTTTGCAAAAGTAAAGATACGTATTTCATAGAAACCACTTAGAATGAAGATTCATGAAGTCAAGAACCAACTCCGAACACAAGAAGTGTGGTTATGCCAAAAAGTGACAAACGGGGAAAAGACGAAATAGGAAAAATGACGAAATGTGAATAGTGTCCGAAAAATGAAAATGCGGAAATGATACGGTCCTCAAAGGAAGTTGTCAATCCAATGTAAAGAGTCTCGGAAGTCATTCCAGAGCACTCAAGATGACACTAAGTGACGAGAAACCGAACTCAGAAAGGAAAAGATCAACAGAAAAAAAATATCCGTGAAAATCTGAGAAAAAGGAAAGGAAGGAAAATGACAGGGTCATTACAACAAACGCCATCACATAAGCTCAGTCTGTGAAGAAGGGTGTAGGAGAAAAAGGGTGTTTGGTTACAGGTTTTTCCTCATCCTAAACCAGTTTTAGATTGAACCAGTTCAAGGTTTGGTATGGTTATTTTTGGAAGAGTAAAAGGGTAAAATGGGTATTACATTACTAATTTATGTCATATTTCTGATTGGGGGTTATTTTCGCATAATATGAAAAGAATATGGGTGTTTTTTGTACATTTTTTCAAATAGAAAGTAAAAGTGCTACACGAAGTATATTTTAGGGGTGTTTTTTGCATTTCACCCAAAATACAAATAATAGTAGACCATCAATATTGAGTAAGATAATGCATTAGTATAATGTGAAATGTGTGTGTGTGTGTATATATATATATATATATATTCATTATTCTTTGCAATGCAACTTCACTAAGTTAATTTTGAAATTTTATCACTTTTAATGACAAATTTACCATCATAAACTTCTATCACTAAAAATTTTACACTCCTTTCTTAACCAAACACACTCCACTCTAAAAGTGAAATGACATTGTATAAATGTTGACTAATTCACAGGGTTGTGCTATTGCAAAAGCCCTCTCATGACAAGAGGCATAGTTAATCACTAGAAAGAGGAAGTCTTTATGCATGGAAAGTCAAATGAATTATTTAATACAAAGTAAACCCGTCCCGATTATATATGTACCTTTAAATTTATATATATATATATATATATATATATATATATAAGATTTAATTTTTGCAAGAATCTTATTACTTTACTGGAAGTATTAGTTAATATATTAATTTTTACTACTTAGTAATTTAAAAGCTTGGCCAGCTTATTTATCAGCCCAATTTGAGCACATTGGGCTACCTTTTTTTTTAGAAAAAACATAATAAAAGTGATATAACCCGCCCCGTCCCGCAATTAAATGGAGTACGCGGGACGGAGTTGGTATTTTGTTTACCGAAGTAGAAGAAGAAATGATTTATTAATTACAAACCCGCCCCGGAGTTAGGATGGAGTTGGTATGATGAATTTTTTAACGGGACGGAATAGGGTTTAGTCAAACCCACCTCCAACTCCGCCCTGTTGCCATTCCTCCATATGTGAGAGCTCTCATTATAACATTACTCATAATTAAATATTACTTATGAAAGAGATTGACTTGTAATAGAAAACGAGAATTAAAGTGTTCCACCTAATTTGCATGGAATGAAGGCAAGGTCTGCTTGGTTCAACTCGAGGCCTAAACCAAAGTCGCTAAATTAGGCTTTCTTACATTGATTATATTAATACAATACTAATAATTTTTATTTTTATTTTCTCTACTAAACTTGCAATGAGTTCAAGAAAATATAACAAATACTATTTTCTTTTTTAAAACAAAATAGATAGTGAATTAATAGTGTTGGAAATTAACCTGAAATAAAGTAAATAAGTTACAAAGTACAAAATTTTGAAGAAGTATTAATACGATGAGAATTTTTAAAAAAATAAAAAAATAAAAAATAAAATGCCCATAAAGTATGAACCAATTGAGAGAGAAAAAATGAGGTACTTACAAGATAAGAGGGTGACTAATTTACTATTATTTATATATTTATGATTGGATCACATCACTGGTGAGTAGACAAATCTTATCCATAAATAAAAAATAAAACAATCCCTTGTATTGACCAATAATAAAGTAGTTATATTTGTTTTGTAATTAATACAATGGACCAAACATAAATAATTCATTAAAAGAAATATATTACTAATATAAAAAATAATAAATAAATAAATAAACTTGTATTGACCAACAATATAGCGGTTTCGTAATTAATATACTACACCAAACATAATTAATATATTTAAAAGAAATATATACCTATATAAGTAATATAATAAGAAATACTGGTATATAACTAATATAATGATACATCGATCCTTTTCTCTCTACTGGGGGCTTTCGGGAGTGCTTTAATTACTTTATGGTTGAGCGAATAAAGGCAAAAATAGTCATGAATGAAAACAAAAGAAATTTGAGTATTTAAAAAGTGATTCAGTAAATTTATCTACCTAGAGATATGAAGAGAAATTTACTTTTGAAGAGGTATTATAAAGATAAATAAACGTATTTGCAAAGATTTCTAATCACAAATGCTAAGCAATCATACTCAGAAATGCAGTATTTAACGTGTTTCAATGAACTCCGTCTACGTCAACACATAAAAAAGATGAACAACGATGCGTTGACAGATGAATTAGAAAGGCAGAGAATTCCAACACGCAACAGACCTTGTATCAAATCCTGTGTTATATCATTCAACCCATATTCAAGTCATTTCTTTCAACTCAAGTCCTGCATCAACCTAATCAAAATTGAAATCCCAAAATTATATTATAACTGCATTCTCGTACAATGTGCATGCACGGTCTTATCCTATTTTTTTAGAATCTGATGTATCAAGTTATCAACATATTATTCATGTTGTATGATATCCGTGTGTCATATGCCCATATCAATGCTTCTTCGTCACTAATCTAATCAAGTGGCATTGATCATTTGACCCTTGGGAATTGTACACATCCCATGTTGTGCAAATTAGCTTTCATACCATATGGTAACTCATCCCCATATTCCCCCCAATTGTGAGAATTGATCCGGTGCCATATATTAGGACCTGCCTCCATATTAAGAAAATTTTAATTCCGTATGTTAAGGCTCATCTCACACTATGTAATGAGAATATTGTCTACTTTTCACATTATTAGTGCTTATAATTTTTAATACACAAGATAAGAGGCATCCCTTATAAATATCGCGTCCAGCCAAATACAAGTAATGAAAATTGCCCCAATTGATTTTATTGTTTTTTGTGTTTTTTATTTTATTTTTATACACCTATAAAAACAACTATTACTTCCACAACATTTTTTTATCTTCTTGTTATTAAAGGCCCCATCCCCTTTCATATAATTTTCCATGTTGACATGAGCCCCACCGCTCCCTTTGTCACACCTTCGCGGTTTCAGAATTTGGAGAGTCTATGGTGGCACTTATATCTATTATATATTAAGAAACAGTACACCTCAGTTTAGCATATTTAATCACCACCTCATTCTCACCATCAACATTCACAAGACTGGCCTTTCTGGATATTGATTCAGCCATTGTTGTTCTCGCCGTCGAGACAAGACTTCTTCTTCTTTCTTTCACCCCCCTGAAATCTTCAATCATTGAAGATTGAAGGTTTCATATCACATTTTGCATGTGACTGTAATGTCCACCAATGGTCATCCACTAGGTATCAGCCCAACCAGTTACTCTCGCAGTCACTCTGCAAGAGAGAGAGACAAAGAGACAGAGCTCTCAATGTTCTCCCAAACACTTCAAACAACCATGACTTCTTCAGCAGAAGAAATCATTGACCTCGAGAAACATGGGCACCCTGCAGAGAGGGCTCAGTGGGTGCTGAATGCTCCAAAGCCGCCTGGCATATGGCGCGAGCTTGTGAATTTCGCAAGTGACAATCTTTTCCCTCAAAAGTTATCGCCCCATTCGAAGCAGACCAAATTCAAACATGCTGTTTCGGTTCTAGAGAGCATATTTCCTATCCTCCTTTTGTGCAGAAACTACAATGGAACAAAATTTAAGAAGGATTTATTAGCAGGCTTAACTCTTGCAAGCCTTTCCATCCCACAGGTGTGTGTCTATAGATATATATATCTAAGTTAGCATTGATTTGGATGGTAGTTGTAGTGCTAGTACTACCACATGTATATATGTTTTTTTTATGCAGAGTATTGGATATGCAACTCTGGCTAAGCTTGATCCTGAATATGGGCTATGTAAGTTTCTAATTTACTTAGTTTTTTAATTGATCAATTGAATGTGTAATTCAGTGTGTATGTGAATTGGAATTCTTGTTCTGATCAGATACGAGTATTCTTCCGCCACTGATTTATGCGTTAATGGGGAGTTCGCGAGAGATAGCAATTGGACCAGTGGCTGTGGTCTCGCTGCTGCTATCCACAATGATTCAGAAGTTGGAAGATCCTCTGGCTAATCCAATTTCTTATAGAAGGCTTGTGTTTACGGTTACCTTTTTCACCGGTGTCTTCCAGGCCGCCTTTGGACTGTTAAGGTTGGTGTTTTCTTATAATCTTATTGACAAACAAAACACTTCTCTGTTTTTAAGTTTTTTTGATTAATTGTACAGGTTGGGTTTTCTAGTGGATTTTCTATCACATGCTGCTATTGTTGGTTTCATGGCTGGTGCTGCCACTATGATTGGTCTTCAGCAGCTTAAAGGACTACTTGGGATCACTTACACCACAAACAAAACTGATGTTGTCTCTGTCTTGAAAGCTGTTTTTGGATCAATTCATTATCCTGTAAATAATCTTATTGTTTTTCTCCTCCTCTTTTTTTTAATTTTTATTTTTCTTAGATTGTATAGTAAAAATTCAAAGAATATAAACCTATGTATGTCATTTGCATTTGTTTAATTACTTTTGGGTAGGTAAGAATAATTAACTTTGTAACCATACTGGTTTTGCATTTGTTTTTGCAGTGGAATCCTCGTAACTTTATGCTTGGGTGTTCATTTCTGAGTTTCATCCTAATAGCCAGATTTGTGGTATGTAAGAAGCATCGGACGTGTTTGGTTCAGTTTTCTAAAAATAGTTCTCAAGAACTCATAAAATAAAAAACTACTTTTTGATAATTTTCCTCTATATGATTTTTTGATTTTCAATTCTCTAAAAAAGAAAACTATTCTAAAAAAAACTGAACCAAACAGGCCTATAATTTCTTAATTCCTTTTCTTTTAGTCTTATACGGTCGTTATCTATCCAAATTCTAATAACCTTACTCATTCTCTCTCAGGGTAGAAAGAACAAGAAACTCTACTGGTTACCTGCCATTGCACCTTTAGTATCTGTTATTTTATCAACACTCTTTGTTTTTCTAACAAGAGCTGATAAGCATGGAGTTAAAATAGTAAAGCACATCCATGGAGGGTTCAATCCAAGCTCGGTTCATGAGTTACAGTTCAACGGCCCTCACACCTGTGAAGTGGTTAAAATTGGACTAATTGTAGCAGTAATTGCGCTCACTGTGCGTAATTAATCCTATTATTCAACATGCTAATGATCCAACATTTTGAATGATATATATATATATATATATAACCTTTGATCTAAATATGTGCTACCTTGTTAACTTTAGGAAGCCGTTGCTGTTAGCCGATCTTTTGCGACAATTAAAGGATACCATCTTGATGGTAACAAGGAAATGATGGCCATGGGTTTCATGAACATTGCAGGATCTTTAACTTCTTGCTATGCTGCAACTGGTGAGCCTAGTTTTCCTTTTCCTTTCTCTTTTGTTTCTTTCTGCATCACCTAACTAAGTTTACTTAGTATGAACATCAATGGTAATATATTGTGGAAACTGAAGCTTACTAAGCTTTTTCAACATATATACATATTTCACTGAGCATTCAGATCTGACACCTCTAACAACTAGCCCGCCCGAGGAGTCTGAGTGTTCTTCTCAGGTAGGTAGGGTGTCCTAAGCTTCTGAGTCTAACCATGAAGCATCCACCTGTTTCACTAGTCCATTATATGAAAGGGTTTTGTTTTTTTGTTGGACATCTAGACCACAATAGTACAATCTTACCCTTCACCAATTCCTGCCCTAAAAATATAAACAATAAGTTATATGCCCAAAAAGAAAATTAATAAAATAAATAAATAAAAAGAAAGGAAGAAAATTGTTCCTTTTAATTTACAAGTGCCTTTCATTTGTCTCCTTCAAAACTTGGTATTTGTACTTTTTTGCACCCCCACACAAATAAGGTAAAGCTCAGGCTATGTCTGTGGATATTGTTGCCCCCAAGGAATTGTTTGCATTCAGGGACGAACGTAGTAGCAAGTGAGGAGGGCAATTGCCCCTCCTGAATTTTTAATTTTTTACTAATATACTTGCTAATTTTTTTTTTTTTTTTTTATATATACCCCAAAAATATTGCTAATTCACCCCCCCCGCGCGGCGGGCGGCGAAATTATTAAAAATTTCAGCCTTGCCCCCCGTTACCTAAAGTTCTAGGTCCGCCCCTGTTTGCATCTAGAAGGAATATATTATCTGATGGTCAAGTCTTTTTCAACTAGACCAAAGGTTTATTTGTACTTTTACATGTGAATTATGCTACTTTCAAACATACACATTTGAATGCCAAATATTCATTTTGTTTTAAAACACTATTATGCAGGTTCATTTTCGCGCACTGCTGTAAATTTCAGTGCTGGATGTGAAACAGTTGTGTCTAACATTGTGATGGCCATTACTGTCCTCATATCAATGGAATTGTTGACAAGGCTCTTATACTTCACTCCAATTGCAATACTTGCTTCAATTATTCTTTCTGCTTTACCTGGACTCATAGACCTCCATGAAGCTCACAACATATGGAAGGTTGACAAGCTAGACTTCCTCGCTTGCATTGGAGCGTTTTTTGGAGTGTTGTTTGTGTCTGTCGAGATCGGTCTCTTAGTCGCGGTAACAATTTTTTTCACTCTCATCATCAATTATGCACAAATACTATCGTCCGAATGAAACATACTAATTTTGTAGTCTTAGGTATTATTTGATAATCAATTTCAACACTTAATTCTGAATGCAAATATTTGATCATTCAAATGGAACAGCATTCAGACTACAAAATTAATTGTGGTGAAAGATCGGCTAACATACTAATTTTGTAGTCTTAGATATTGTTGCATAACCAATTCAATACTTAATTCTGAATGCACTCAATTAAATACTAGTAACACTTAAGAAAACAAGTGACACTTGAAACGAGGAAAATTAAATTTTATTTCTGATCATTAATATGCTACTTAAAAAATGAAATTAGTGTTTAAATGAAACGTATGCATTTCATAGTCTTAGGTGTTGTCCGATAATCTAATTAAGCATCTGAATGATTAAATATTTATTAAATTAAGTGCAGCTAATGACACATTTAATACTTTAAATGAGAAAATTTTATTTATCTGTGATGACCAGTTTTTGTGCACATATATGGTACTGTTTTAATGAAACATACAGATTCCTAGGCCTTTGAGAATATAATCTAGATTTTGTGGGATCAAATTGGATTTGTCTAGAATTTTTCATTGGTAGTGAGTAAACTCTAATACTGATTGCTGGGTGAAATTGAGGCAATGGATGAATGGATATCACTTGGCCCACCACTTTAAAAAGGCAACATTTTGAGGGCATCAAATTCAAAGACTAGTGGGTCACTTTTTGTTTTAATGACATATATACCAACTTTTGGGCTGCGAAAAGAAAGGACCTTCAATGGACTACAAGAGAAGTAGGAATAAATACTTTTTGGTTAAATAGTGGTCTTTTACTTCTCAAAAAGACAGTTGAATAGTGTGGAATGAATGAGTCCTCAAATTGAGGCTAGGTGCTTCTACAAAAAGTTATGGTTGTTGGTTGTGGATCGTTCCTTTAGTAAGCTATATATATATATAATAAAGCTGGAAAAAAGTTGGTTCTTCTCCAGTAAGTCAATCACCCCTTGTCTAGGGTTAGGTATTGTGACGATTTAGCTGTGGAATGTGGACATCTATCTTACGTACCCTTTATTTCTGTTGAGATCATTCACATCATGATTGAATACTAATTGCATCACCTCTTCGTAACACTATTTTCGAACCATCAACCTTCTCTAAAAGGCAGATGCTTTGGAGGAGGTCTTAGTTCAACGGCCCATTAAAGACAATACTCTTTTTGAATTGTTTGTGACTTACGTATCAGGACTGGTGTTGGGGTTGCGCCAATACCCCCTTGGTTTATCTGCTAGCTAGGGGTGGATTCAAAAGCCCTACCTTGGAGGGGTTCCACAGTTATAATAAAAAAAAATAAAAAAAACTATCAACCTTCTCTTTGGGAAGGTGGATACTACTAAGTTTTCTTTCAACCCGAGTAATGTTGTGACCCAATTTTGATCCGAGTTAAGAGTTTTGTGTAAGTTTTTTGAAGATTTCGACTTGATTTCTAGCTAGTTTTTATTATAACTCGGTATATAAGGGTGTTAGGGTTTGTATTGTTAAAAAACCCTAAAAATCTGAAATAGAGTCTCTTTATTGAGAGAATGTATTAATTAGGTTTACAGTTTGTGAAACTTGTACATCTAACTTCTTTCTTTTCTTTACGTGCATAGTGAAATCTCTTCGCGCCCATCTTTATTTTAGATGTACAGTTATAAGGCGAAACATGTTGAATATGTGTGTTCATTTGATGCGTGTTTCTGGTTGATATTGTTGTTTAATTGATTTTATTTTGTCAGTAATGTTTATACTTTATAGTAACAAATATGTTAGATCTAAGTCCCATGAAGTACACTACTTTAAATTAAGTAAAATATATACAGGTGTGTATATTTTAGAGAAATGGACAGTGATATGCAATTTTTTTTTAATTCAAATCAAATTATTAAAGCTCATCTAGCAGATGTTTCTCCAATTCTCCTTTTGATACTGAGCGCACAATTTGATTCTGATTTAAGCATTGCTTAAAGTTAAATGAGTAATATAATTGTGATTTAATATATATATATATGATTGGATTTACAGGTGATTGTATCATTTGCAAAAATCATAATCAATTCAATTCAACCGGGCTTAGAAAGTCTCGGTAGATTTCCAGGAACTGATATTTTCTGTGATGTCCATCAATACCCTATGGCTATTAAGAGTTCTGAAATCCATATAATCCGAGTCAAGTCTGCTTTTCTTTGTTTTGCAAATGCCAATTTTATCAGAGAAAGGTAACTAGATTATGTCCGTTATATATAAAAGTTCAAGTGAACGCACACACCCACAATAAAATAGTTATAATGTTTATATATAAAAAAATATATATCTAATTTTATTTCACTTTATTGTTAATTTGCTCAAGGATTTTGAAGTGGGTAATTGGAAAGGAAGAGGTGGATGGCAAAGGTAGTGTCAAAGCAAGAATCAAGCCTGTAATTCTTGACATGTCCAGTAAGTACTTTTATGAACAATAAATTAATAAATAAAACTGAAGATTGCAGTATTTTTATTCTAATTTAATTTATGGAAAAAAAAAATGAAAAAACAAAAGAAAAAAGAAAATGAAAAACTACTTTTGAGGATTGAATTTAATGACAATTGATGGAAACTGTTCTCTTGATTTGGGACCAAATTGCTGCTTTAGGCATCATGCTTATATAAGATTGTTCTCTTGATCTCAGACCATATTACAACTGTAGTCATCATGCTTAACAATGTCAATTTATTCCCCTTTCAAGTATTTTCAAGGGATTAATGATTTCTAGACTACAGTTGTGGTTCAAATTTTGTTTCGATCTACGATAATTCTTCTTGAATTGTGGTCCACGATAATTCTTGTTGAATTGTGGTTCAAATTTTGTTTCAATCCAAATTTCAGATTTTGAACCCATTGTTGGGAAAAAAATCTTGCAGATCATTCTTATCGTAACCTACTTTATAAGAGAGTTAGGATTTATATTTGCAAAATGAAACTTTTGTGGATCGTCGTATAGTCGAACAATGTAAATCTTTCTTTGTGTTTGTGTAGCTAGTGATTTTTTGTTTTCTGTGGATTCTTAATTGTGTTGTGTTTTGCCGTGGTGTTTGTTAACAATTCTGATTACAGATTTGGTAAACATTGACACATCTGGAATTGCTTCTCTCAAGGAACTGCATAACACGTTGGTGCTGCATGGCATAAAAGTAAGGCAGTGATTTTGTCTCCTAAATTATATATATGTTAATACACACATATATATATATGATATGAAATGAAACCCCCTCTATCTCTCCTCTTGCAGTTAGCCATAGCCAACCCTAGGTGGCAAGTGATTCACAAGCTGAGGCTGGCAAACTTTGTGGACAAAATTGGTGGAATGGTCTTTTTGACTGTTGGAGAAGCAGTGGAGGCATGCGTTGGTGTCAGAATGGGTACCATTTAAGTGCCACAATGTACTTATTCCTACGTGTGTGTAATCTGGTCCCACACAACTTTTGTAAATTGAATAATGGGACATCTAATAAAGTTAATTGTGAAACTATTAAGTTATGGGTGTTTTCATGTATCAAAAATATGTAATATAGAACCATCAAGTAATGTTTTTGCCATTTCGATTGAACAAAATCTGTATATATATATATATACACATAAATAAATAAAGAACGGTTTAGTAATAAATTTTGTGAAATTTTAGGTTTAATTTCTATCAACATTTAAAAATTGGAGAGGGTAACGGTTCGAATCCCATAATGGACATTTGTGAGTATATGTGCACAAATATTTTGTGACGTCACACAATATCATCTAAAAAGAAAGGTTTGATGATGCTTATATGTAGGGATATTCCCTAATTATATAGACATATTTTAAACAAAATCGTATTCAGTAGACAAGAACTGGTAACATATTCGTCAAGAAAGGGATTCATAATACATTTATCTTCTTGAGGACGCTTTATGCCGACTAAATCCATTCAATTTTAATTATTTGAATAAGTATATGCTTCTTTCTGTATACAGCAGTTACATGAAATTTGATTCGTAGGCTTTCATGACATGATCTAACACTAAAGGGAATGATGTTAGAATCCCACTAATAGAGATTTCTTAACTTTGTTTTTGCTTGGTATTCGATGCCAAAATAAGCAGTCAATGTTCTCATCTAAAACAATCATTATATTCTTATTGATTGCACAAACGCTACTAAACAATAAAATATTTGCTAATTGAGGAATAAATTTTCCCCCCAAAACTATTCGAAGATGTCAAATGAGGCCAACAGCATAATTATCCTTAGACTGTGTTGGAAAAAAGTAATGCAGCAATATTTGAATTGAGTTTTTTTTCCACGATGCTATAAATAGAGAGGAAGAATACTTGTCGCAGACCATATCAGAATTGTGTTTCTTTTAACACGTGAAGTGGACTAATAAAAGTTTGACGACACTTGTTTAAAATAAGGGAAAACTCTGAAAAACACCTTTGTGATTTTTAATTTGTACAAATTAGACCCTTTTAGTTAAATTTATTTATATAAATCCATACTTGATATAAAACTGTGCAATTAAGCACCCCCGGTGAGAATTTCGGTAGAAATTGGATGTCAGTTGGTCATGTGCAAGCCACATGACCATTTTAAACCCTTTATTCCCAAAATTGCCCTTCTTACATTCCTTTGCTACCCCTCACCATATATATATATATATATATATATATATATATATTTATAGTATATATGGGTTTTGAACTTCTTATTCTTATAGATTTTGTAGTTTGCAGTTACAAAGAGAGAGAGAGAGGATAAGTTCAGAGTTTAGAACGAGAATAGAGATGGACACGATTGTGGAGGCTGAAATGATTTGCCCTAAAAAAAATTATATAAAAAAGATCATAAAAAATTTTACCAAATAGGATTTAGTTTGCAAAACAAGAATTATAAACCTTGATTAGTTGATTTAAAAAAAAAAAAAAAAAAAAAAAAAAACACCAAAACATACAAGATAGCAGTTGTAGAGAGAAAGGGGGGCAAGCTTGAGAGTAGAGAGACAACGGGCCAGCGGCTAAAGCTTGTGAACGGTGAACCCAAACTGGAATAGCGGGTGATGGAAACTTAAAGATATGTGGCCGTGCTCGTCCCTTAACGCGTCAAATTGATGTGATTGTGGTCAAGTTTAAATTTATAAAAGCCATTACTATTACTACTATTAACGTAGCAAGAGTAAGTAAGGATCATCCTAGGGGATTTGCAAGATACTATAGAATTAATATCGGATTAGTAGGTCGAATGATCAAAGAGGGGTTTTGGTTGATTGAATTAGACTAATGGTTCAATTAAAATATGCAAATTAAAATGCAATCTTGAGATTAGGGATTACAGAATGAGAGATAGGTCTTGGGGCTTAGAGTTCACCACTAAGTTTCACTTCACTAAACATTAGCAATTGTCAATTTAAGGGGGTTTCATGTTGTAAAACAAGTGTGTGTGTCATTAATTCAAATACTAAGCATGGACGGCAAATTAAGTATAAATTTTCTAATCAATCTAGTGAGTAGCACAACCTATCAAACTAAGCCATTAACCATTCAATAAACCCACAATTAATACTCACACAAAAATCTAGAGAAATGTACTATTTGCACTCATAAGTATGGATCATCAAACAACAAAAATGGATTGTTTACCTATCTAGTAAATTAAAGCAACTAAGATACAACTATGCTAATGACATGGAAATTAAACTACATAAGCTAAGGAGGTAGCACAACCCATCAAGAAATAAGCATGATCCATCAAACAGTCCACAAGAGTAGTCAATTAAGCACCATGTCTTAACCATCACTAGATTTATAATTACAACACACATAGACATGCATCAAACTCATAAAACCTAGTATAAACACATGACCATTCATTCTAGCATACATAGATATATGGATAGAGAAAAAAGATCATTCGGAAGAATTAATCCATACAAATCATGTAAAATATCAAGATCTATATATAAACATGGTCAAAACATCATTTACAACATAAATCCCCAAAATCTACAAAAGACTAAGTTTAGGAAGCAAGTCTAGGGGCTAGCTCTAGCCCCAAGAAAGGGATTTAGCCACTTATGGTAGGTGACATCCAACCCTCAAGGGCTATCTTCATGGCGGGATTGGTCTTCCTCCTCTTTGCTTTGCTTCCAAAAACCCTAGTTCTAGAGAAAATATCTAATAGCTATGTCTACCCAAAAAGGAAAGTAAAATTGTTAACTCTACAAAAAAATTTCCTTTGATTTTAATCTATGCCTCTTTCAGTAGGCAACAAGACAGAAATAATGCATTCGATTGGTGCAAACTTGCAGGTACAAAAGTTGGTGGAGTTTGGGCATGCTCGGGAATTAGACAGCTTACTGCGAGCAGGGGCTTCGATCGATCGAACAGGGCTTCGAATGATTGAACACTTACTTCGATCGATCGAAGTTGACATGACAGAGATATTTTGATAATTGGCGACCTTATCCATTGAGCTGGCACCACCTTCATCTCGATCGATTGTAGCTTTCTTCAATCGATCCAGGCTTCCCTCGATCGATCGAAACTTCAACAGTGCAATTTTTCTGACTTTTTTCTGAATTTTCTCCTTAGCTCCAAAACTGAGCTATTAAACTCTTTTTAGTCTGTTTGAACCTTATTAGCCTAAAATAGACAAAAACACAAATAAGAACTAAAACATGAAAGTAACATAGATAATTAGACTAAAATACCCTAACTTAGGTGCTAAAATGCATCACATTTGAGTACTTATCAATATGGGTTTTGATATAGGTAATAGGCTTTGAACTTTTGAAATGATATGCCGATATGGGTTTTGATATAGGTTTTGAACTTTTGATTCTTGCAGATAGATAGATAAATTGAAATATATTTGAACTTCTGATTCTTGTAGATTTTGTAGTTTGCAGTTACAGAGAGAGAGAGAGGGCAAGTTCAAAGTCGAGAACAAGAATAGAAATGGAGGCGATTGGAGAGGTTGAAATGATTTGCCAGAAAGAGAAAGTGCAAGCAAGTCTTTTAAATTGTGAATATGCCGTAACTTGAAACGACGTGATATTGATAGAGGGCTATTTTAGTGTTTTTTTTTTTTTTTTTTTTTTTTTTTTTTTACATTTTTTGTTATTTTATTATTATTTTTAAATCATAGATAGAGGGCTATTTTAGTCTTTTTGTAGCTCCGGTATCGGTCAATAGAGGTCAACGCCCAAAAGGCACTAATCCGCACAATTTTTAAAGTATAGGGGAGGTGAACAAACAATGGGGAGTTATATGCACTATTGATATTATAAGGGTGTAAAGTGCACGCGAGCCTTAAAATAAATAAAAAATTATTCAGTCTAGGTTAACCACAAGTCAATGTTACGATATTTTACATATTAGTTTTCTCTTTCTCTGCCATCCTTCCTTTCTTAGTTGCTAACTATCTTCTCTCCCTACATTTCTCTCTCTAAAATAGAGACGACGCTAGGTGACTAGAGACGATTGGTTCACAATAGCGTTGACAAAAGACGGACAGTGATGACTGTTGCCCAATTAATGACTCAAGAGGGGGGGAGTGAATAGAGTCTTAGCAAACAATAGTCAATTTTCAATTTCAATTAATGTGCAATAGCAAAGTAAATTTCTCAATAATAATTTAACAAAGCAATTTGAAGTCTAAGTTACACCTATCAGCAATTATCAAGAAATAAATTCAAAAGAACTTAAAGCAATAGATATAAGAGATAAAGAGAAAGATTGCAAACAAGTATGTGGCGATTTTAGCGAGGTTCGGAAACTCCTATTCCTCAGCTCAAGATCCCTCTTGAGACTTCCCAATCCACTATGGCACCTCTTTATGGGTGGAGAGCAAACCTTCTATAAGAAGCCCTTCTTTGCTTCTAAGTGCTAAGAGAAACACCGTTTTCTAGTCTTCCTTGGGCCATACCAGCCCTTACAAGAGTTGAATAAGATTGTTGAAGTACAAGATGATCTCTCTTAGATATAAGGTACAAGATTCAGCTCACTCTAGAGTATGTATGAATAAATTGAAGCTCAAAACTCTTTAAAGATATGAAGTATGTGTATGATGATAAAAAGGTTATAAGATTGCAAGGATATGTTTCTCAAATGAATGCAATACCTTTTTATGAAGACTATAACTCATTATATAAAGTTTTAAATGAGTCTGATATGTATTCTAGCTGTTGGACACACACTTCGAGGAAAAATGGCCGTTCAAAATTTGAATTCTCGCTGGTTCGGTCATCCAAAATAAAACACTACTGAGGTTCGGTCGACCGAAACTATTTGAGGTTGGCCATCGTACTTATTTCGGTAGACCGATGTAGTCTTCCATTTGTTTCTTTCGTCCGAAACACTACTGATGCAAATTTCCATTTGTTTCGGTCGTCCGAAACACCTCTCTCCATTATGCTAAAACATTCTGTGAGAATTAGACGTCCGAAACAATTAGAGGTTAAATTTCATGAATTTATTTCGGTAGACCGAACTAATTTGGTGCTCTATTTCGGTAGACCAAAATAGCTTAAGGCTTGGTTCCAAGCTCCTTGTTTACATCGGTCGAC